AACTGTGCATTAGGTAAATCTGGCTTTGGATCACTCTCTGGTGCTGAAATAGTGACCACACACAATAGCCGACTCCTGATCAACCTGGATCTGACACCACCCATGCTAATAAGAGAAGTAACAGTAGTCTCAGAGAAGATAACCTGCCTGCTTAGAAATTCTTGAATGACAGGTTCAAACAAACCAGGTTAGGAAGATGAAATCAATCCACAATCCTTCAATGCCCAGATGATATCACACACTAAAAGGCATCAAGAGTTTTTCAAGAAACTGCAACTCACCAAACAGTGAATTTGAGATGCTAGAAACTTACAGTTAAGAGAACTCTCAGAGAGAGAATTTTTAAAAACTGCTCTAAAAACTCAGTGACTTTGAAAAACACACAGAAATGATTCTATAATGAAGTGACTTTTAAAAGAGATGGAAGCAATTTAAAAAACTCAAACCAAATTCCTTGAGTTGAAAATAGACCATGCCACATTTAAAATGTGATGGCAGGTATAAGAGGTGAATAGATCAAACAAAAACAACTAGAGAGCCCAAAGGCAGGCTCTTTCAAAACAGCTGGAGGAGCAAACACAAAAAATAATGAAGAAGAATGAAGAAAACTTTGGAAACTTTAGGATTAAAAGAGCAAACATTTGGGTTATTAAGGATCAAAGGGAACTCGAGAATGACAAAGGAGTATAAATGTCCCCAGATGATGGCGCTGCTTTGGGAGGTCTTAGAAGGTGTGGCTATCCTGGAGGAAGCATGTCACTGGGGGTAGGCTTAGAGAGTTCTTAAGCCTTGCCAGATCTCCAATTGCTCTCTTGTTTCCTGTGCCTGCTGGAAGATGTAGAGCTTAGCTTCTGCTCCTCCTCTAGCCACCCCTGCTGCCAGGCCTCCCCCGCCAAGAATGACTGTAATTCCCCTGGAACCATGAGCTCAAATAAACTCTTCCTTCTATAAATTGCTTCCGTCAGTGTTTCTATTACAGCAACAAACAAACAAAGTGACTAATATAAAAACAAACCCGAACTTGACAGATACAGAGAAGGATATAAATATCAGGTACAGGAAGGTGAAAAGTCATCAGTCAGATTAAACTCAAGTCTACCTCAAAAGATCCTATAGTTCAGCTCTAAAAAGTGAAAGGTGAAGCACATTCTCAAGAGAGCAAGAGAAAATAGCAAACAGGATGTCTTGATGCACCTGACATCAGAATGCTCAGCAGTAACCTTACAGGCCAAGAGACAGCAGCACAGAGAAAGCCTACCAACCAATAATACTAATCCTAGACTAAACTATCCTTTCAGAATGCAGGAGGGATAAACCATTCCCAGACAAACAGAAGCTGAGAGAATATATCTCTGCTAGATGCATCCTACAAGAAACAATTTAGGCGGTTCTTCATGCTACAGAAGATACTAATGCATAACAAGTAGAAAGCATGAAAAGGCATAAAACTCACTGGTGAAGAGTAGTAACAGAAAAATCCAGAAATCTCTTCCATAGCAGAAATGCAAGTTCATAAAACCATTAAAGAAAACAGTATGGAGGTTCCTGAAAGTATGGTGGCACTCACCTTTAATCCTACCACTCTGGAGGCAGAGGCAGGGGGATCTCTGTGAAGTCAAGGCCAGCCTGGTTTACATAGAAAGTTTCAGGACAGCTGGGGCTACAGGGAGACCCTGTCTCAAAAAAAGAAAAAAAAAATTTAAAAAAGAAGCAACACACAGTCTAGAAGTCCCACTAAGAATGTATCCAAACAGTGAAATCAGTATGTTGAACAGACATCTCCACTCCCCTGTACATTGCTTTGGTATTCACAATAGCCAGAAAATGAAAACAATCTAAATATTCACTATATATAATGTTATATAATTATACATAATATATACATGCACATACAAACATATTAATATATACACATATACATGTGTATATACATGCATATGGCTGAAAAGTGTTCAGCTATAAAAAGAATGAGATCTTGTCATTTGTGACAACATGGGTAGAACTGGAGGATCATTATTATGATGGCTAATCTTGGTTGTCAACTTGACCTGGAATCACCTAAAATGCAGGCTGCTGGGCACTCTTTGAGGGACTCTCTTGATCATATTATTTGAAATGCGAAGACCCACCCTAAGTGTGGGTGGCCCCTTCTCGTGACAGCCCAGATTAAAAGACATGGATGAAAGAAGCTTGGCTTTTTGCCTGCTTGCCTTCCTGTTGCTAGCAACTTCATCTACCTTGTTGCTGCAGCATTCCTTTGCCAATGTTAGAACCAATTTCTACAGGTTTCCAATGGACTGAACAAATACCAAGTTCTTGGCCTTTTCTGGGTAAAACAACCTTTTATATATATATATATATATATATCCCTTCACACACACATATATATGTATATGTATATAGTGTTCTGTCAGTTCTGTTCCCTTAGAGAGCCCTAATACAATTAAGTGAAAGAAACAAAGACAAACAACTGCATGATCTCACTTATATGTAGAATCCTTAAGAGATTAGCCAGAAGCTGAGGAGAATAGAGGAGGGAGACTCTGGGAAAGGTTGACCAATCTATACTAAGTTGTAATTAGGTAGGAGCAAGAAGTTCTGGTGTGCTATTGAACATGATTATGGATGATAATCATACACTGCAGATGTCTGAAAGAAAGGACTTGGAAAGCTTTCATCATATATAAATGATGGATATTAGAGATGGACACACTTGACCTCCCTGATAAGAAGTTGTCCATCTTATGACACACCTACCAAAAGAACAGCCCATTTTGCAGTGAGTCACCTCAGGAAATGCTCTTTCAATATGTATCTCTTTCCCCTACATCTTCTCCCTATTCCTGACTCTCCTCTCAGGGCTCCTCCTCTTCACTTTGTTCTTGTCCCAACACTGGATTATATACATGGGAAGGAGAAAAGTAGTGTGGGAGAGAAGTCTCTTCGTCTTCCAAACACCAGAACCTCACGTTTACATACAATGTAGGAAGGAGAGTTCAGAGTAGAATATGAGCCTGAAGCTTTTTTAAATTAATTTTTTCAGTGTATATTTTGTATTGAGTCTTAAGTTTTAAAACAGGTACAACTAAGTCTTGACAGACATAATTGCATGAATAACCAACTGCAACTGGAAATTCCTAGAATTACACTGAAAGGTCCTGGAGTGAGAAAGGGATTTGGGTTATGTATACAGTTAGCAAAGCATAAAATTACTTCATGTTTGCCAGCTGACTACTACATGGACAGAGGACCAAGCCATGTCAATCAAGCCCATCATGCTAACAATAGCAGTAAATATTCTGTTTTTGACCGTTGGGGCGTTGCTCTTAGTAAAGTCCAGTACTTACAGAACCTTTCTAAAGAACCCTTAAGAATGAAAGTGATAGCCTCTTGTACCACTGGCTTCTACTGCACAGATCATCTCATTAGAGCTCTTGAGCGAATAGAACCATATGTTTATTTTTCAAAGTTTTGGAGAGTATGAACAAAAGCTGCCCTGAATATTAACAGGCTGAGAAAGAGGAAATGCAAAGCAGTTCAGAAAGACAGTGAAGTCACATAGAAAAAATGAAGTGTCACCCAAACAAGCAATAACAAGTAAACCCAACCTGCTAATTTGGGATGAGGGGCAAGAAATGTTTACTTGCTTGTCTGTTTGTTTTGAATTGAACAGTTGCATATGATCATAAAAATACCTTCTGTGTTTACTAGTTCCAACAGTTATCCCTTTCTAGATATTGAAACATGTATAAAATTTGCAATGTGAAATTTTAAGAATAGTTTCTCCAAATATGAAAAAAATGAATTTTTAAAATTACCAATGGGATGTGATGTATATAAATATGTTCTTTCTTTGGGGGGGGAATAGCAAAAATTCTACTTAATTCCTTTCTAAGTGAAATGAATAGACATTATAAGGTTTTTGCACTATGGAAAGAAAGCTACATAACATTATATTTATGAAATAAATTAGAAATGATTAAGAGTATAACAAGGTAACTCACTAACAGTTCCTTTAAGTGTGAAGTTAATTCCTTTATGGTTAATTTTATTGTTTGGTTTATATATTTGATATGATATTATTATAAAAAAATGAAGTAAGGCTTCCAAGTTCATGATTCTGAATACTTTCCTATCAAATCACATAATTTGTTAGTGCTAAACTATGATCGGTATTTAGGACTATAGTTATAACTTCCAAAGTTTAAATAATAAATATTCACATATGCAATAATAAATGAATGCATTTCATTTTAAGTTAGGACATTTTTAACATACTGTTCCTATGCTGTAGTATATTTACTAAAATATCAATGTAGAAATTTATGTTCACTTAATAATATAACTACTATTTTTTATTTTAATCTTAACTTCAACAACACACAAACCATGCTTAGGCAGTAAATATCTCCTGAACTGTATTTTGAATGTGACTGGTTTTTATTAAATTCCTCCATAGCTCAAGTTCACCTTTATAGGCTCTATGTGTTTTTATCTCTTTATTGCATTTTGTTTACATTTATTGGGCTCTCTGGATCTACGTATCTTTGCAATTCTTTTTTTTTTAATTCTTTTTTTAGTTCCCTGCTTCCTGATGGAGTATTGACTTGCCTGCTGACAGTTTCCTGTCACAGTACATTTCAGTGGCCAAGCAGCCACAGCAAAGAGGCGGAGTGACAACAGGGACAGCATCCACTGAGGAGGCACTGAGAGGGCGTTATCTTCCTACCACACCCCAGGTAAAGGCCACTTCAAGAAACAAAGGTCACTAAGTACCGTAAATTCAGTACAATGCAGACTTCAAAGAAAAGCAAAGGACAAAATACCCATTTTTGATTTTTCACATTTCTTGCTCCTGGAATTCTAAAATAATAGTTGAAAAGAGAATGTGGGAAAAAAAATAATGGCTTATTGAAAACAGCAACAGTTTATATGGATTTAGTGGGGAAATCACATCACTTCTATAAACCAATCACATTTTCAGAGATTTTTTTACCTACTTGTACAACAGCTTTCAGTATATCTCTCCAGGTTTTATCCACGGCAGCAAATCGCCTGCCCTCTTCAGGCATTTGTGACATGATGTCGGGAGAGCTGAAAATAGGTTCTAGATAGAGCCAGGTGGCTTGGACCTTGAGCCATTCGTCCAGGATCTCCTGCAGCAGCAGCAGCTTGCCCTCCCATTCTCTGCAGAGCAAACACAGTGGCTCTCAGAACAGCTAGACAAGCAGCAGTTCAGACAGCAAAACAAAACCACAACTGGCCTGTCAACCTCACATGCAAGTGCTATTATTCCAATCTCTACTTCTCTAGGCTTAGTCAAAGCTAAGTTTGCCCTCTGTGGGTGTGCACTCTGTAGCAGCCTGACAGGGGCAGAACTGCCAGGCACAGAATGAGGCAATGCCCACAAATGCACTCCAATTTCTGATAGCCTCTTAGGTGTGCAGTATATAGAAGCAGAAACCTGCAAGTCAGCTTTCTCCTGCCACATGGACTCTCACTGAAGATGGCAGGCCGGTTTTGTTTTCTGGGGGTTTTGTTTTGGGTTTTGGGGGTTTTGTTTGTTTGTTTGTTTGTTTGAGACAGTCTCCCTGTAGCCTTAGCTGGCCTGGAACTTGCTATGTAAATGAGGAGATCTGCCTGCCTCTGCCTCCTGAATGTTGGGATTAAAGGCATATGCTACCATGCCCAGTGGTTATCTGTTTTTTAAGGTAAAATATAAACTGTTTAATATACATTACAAAAAAAATGAAACTGGTGAGAAGAGACAGGATATGCAATGTATTTAACTGTCTTTGTTCTAAAAACGTCAGATTAAAAGTAGTTTCTGCATTCCTACAGCACCCTGGAATCTGCCATCAGCATCTCAGCTCTGCCAGGACCCTGTGTGCCTCTGGGAGCTTTCCCTGCCCTGCCCTGGTGAGTTTCCTTTCCCATACCTCCCTAGGTTCTCACTTCTCAGCTCCACCAGGACCCTTGAGGATTCCTGACGCTTGCCCTGGCCTCCTGTGGTGTTCCCCCCTTCCCACATGTCCCTGTGCCACCATGCCATCTCTGTTCTCCTAGGATCCTTGTGGACCCCCATATTTGGGAGCTTTCCCAGACCTGCTGGGGCAAGTTTCCTTTCCCACATCTCCCTGCACTCTGTCATCACTACCTCAGCTCTTCCAGGACACTTGCCTGCCCCTGGGAACTTTCCCTGACCTGCCTTGCTCCGAGACCTGCTTCCCTTACTAGTATCCATGTGCCCCAAGACCTGTGGACTCTCCCAACGTGTTCACCTAGCAACCACCCAGCCCACTCTGCTGTTCCAAGACTGTGAGGTATCAACCCTGGAACCTCCACTCAAAAGTAGCCCCTATCCCTAGTTTAACTGTGACCACTTCTTATACCCCATTTCCACCTCAACATAAAGTGGCCCCAAAACTGAACACAAAGCACCACTCAGTGGGGCCGTAACCTGACAAGTTGGGGAAACAGCAAACAAAGATACAAATAACCACTCAACAAAGATGAGATCACCTACCTACACCAAGAAATGCCACCAAGGACACAAGGCCAGATACCTAGTTCTCATAGAAAAAAACCAAATGAATAACCAAGATAAAGTCTACTATAGAAATCAACACCCCATCCTAATATTTCCGAGAATGGCAACCAAGTGGATGCACAAATCAATGATTTCAAAATAGCAATTATAAATATATTCAAGGAAACTCAAAGAAAACATGAATAATAGACTAAATAAAAGTATAGTTATTTCTTTTGCTCTTATTTGCCAGTTATCAAGCATAGAAGCAGAAACTATAATAGATATTCATGGATTGTCTCTGACAAACTATTCCTTATATTTCAAAAATAACATTATTATTTTTAGTTTTATTGTTTATACACTTTTTTTTTCCAAGACAGTGTCTCCCTGTAGCCAGTCTTGATCTCACAGAGATTCACCTGCCTCTGTTTCCTGAGTGTTGGGATTAAATGTGTGTGCCACCACACCTGGCTATTATACATTCTTTAAACTATGTTCAATCATCATATTATTTCTTAGAGTTAACAAAATGAGATCAGATTGTCAGAAATAAAAATGAGCATATGGATGTCATAATGATCACAAAAGGTTCTACACTCTTTCAAAAGTAATGAAGGCTGCCTTAAAATATTAAATATAGGGGCTGGAGAAATGGCTCAGTGGTTAAGATAAACTATTGCTCTTGCAGAGGACCTGAGTTCAGTTCCCAGCATCCAAGTTGGGTGGCTCACAAAACCTTTAACTCCAGCTCCAGTGGATCCAAAACCTTCTTCTGGCCTACACAGGCACCTGCACTCATGTGTGCATACCCTCCCCCACAGACACAGATGCATACACATAATGAAAAGTTAAAAATAAATTTTAAAATATTAAATATTAAATATAGAATCAATTCTCAAGAGAACTTTACATTGAATACACATGGTTTGAGTAATACAGTATAAACATGACCATATTACTTTACCTTATTTGTTTTTCATAAGGCTTGATGAAAGGAGATCCTCGCATAGTTTGTGTTTTGATAATGTGATCATCCAGCAACATCTGAATTTCATCAACTGATGACAAAATAAAAGTTCCACTCTCTCTGTAAGGAAGAACGTTGAATTCCATTGAATCCCATTCAGTAATCATCTTATTCAGGGCCTTTTCAAGAGAATATTCTTTGCTAGCTGCTTCACTGATGCCTTCAAATCTGTCTAAATATGGCCCCAGATTCATTTCTATAAAGGAGAAGACAGTGGAGTCCTCTGCTGGTTGCAGGGGGTAGCCAACAATGGCTGACATGGCCTCCCAGTGCCTGGGGCGCAAACCAGGATTACAGATCACCTGGATGAGTGGAATGTACTGCTTGAATTCTTCCACCCTTGACCTTATTTTCTTCGTCATTGCCAATGCATTTGGAGAATCATAGAAGCCTTTCTCCAGTTTATATAATCCCCTCCAGTAATTTCCAACATCTGCTTCTACTTGGTCTGGGTTCATCTTGTGATATGGTCCTTCTGTCCACCCTCTATGTTTGCCACTAAACTCTACGGCAGTTTCATAGAGACGGAGATAAGGGTTCAAACCATCTTGGATTTTTTTATGTTGCGGATACACTGATGGGATCCAGCCAAATGCTTCCTCTTCAGCATTAAACTGCTCGATCTGAAAAGATGGGTGTTGAATAAGTGACTCTGAAAACGAATATGTTTAAAATGCTCATCACCAACTCTCCCTACACCCTAAAATTAAACTTCAGTAAGTGCAGAAATTGAGCATTAATCTATTTCCTGCTTATTTTTTTTAATTAACAAAATGTATATGTATATTTATGATATACAATATGGTATTTTCAAAGATGTATGCATTCTGAAATGAGTATTCAAGCTAAAGAGTATGTCCATGACCACACACTTAAAAGCTACTTTCTTAGCAATTTTCAAATATATACATTGTTATTAAATATAATACATGTTATATAGTAAATCTACCCAACTTGTTTCTCCTATTTAAATGAAGCTTCATATTCTTCAATCAACATCCCCAGTTCCAACTACTTCCTTAGTCCCTGGTAAGCACTGTTGACAATGTGCTTCTACAGGTTTGACTTTTCTCAGTTCCATACCCAGTTCCATATATAAGTGAGGTCATGCAGTATATGTCTTTTTATATCTGGTTTACTCTCTTAACACAATGCCCTCCAGGTTCATCCATGTTGTCACAAATGACAGGATTTTCTTTTTGTGTTTCATTTTATTTTTAATAATGTTTATTTAATTAATTAATTTATTTATTTATTTATTTATTTATTTATTATTTGTATGAGCATTTTGCCTTCATGGATCTAAGTGCACCTGTATTATGCAATGCCTGTGGAGGCCAGAAGAGAGCATTGAATCCCCTGGAACTGAAGTTAAGGATGGTTGTTAGCCATCATGTGGGTGCTGGGAATCAAACCAGGGTCCTCTGCAAGAACACACAGTGCTCTTAACTGCTCAGCCACTTCTCCAGCCCCAAGGACTTGCTTTTTAAAAGGCTGAATATAATGTCCTTATTTCTTGTGATCATGGTTTTCAGGAAATGTTAGGTTACATTATCTAAAAGCATCAAATAAATTTACAAACATGAAGTTTTATCCACCAAGATATATTGAGAATCTGGCTTCATTCATTAAAATAATTTAGTTACTTTTAGTATGTATAGCACTGTGCTAGATACTGTGGAAAATAGAGAAAAATAATCTCAGCTCAGGAGAGAAGATATATGTAGGTAGAGACATATTTGTTCAATAATAATGTAAGGCAACAGAAGAGATAGTGCATCAGATTAAGTACTTAACATATAATAAGTAGTATTATATTCCCATGTCTAATCCATCTGCATTAAAATATGTGTATGCTGTCACTCATACTCAGAGGTGGGAGGCAATACTGACACAGTATAGTCACAGGTGCTGCCATAGAGAAGAGACACGTAGACCACAGTCTTGAAGATGAGCAGGGTGAGAAGCGGTAAAGAAAGAGTTCACTTTCTCTTAGCTCCTTGTGAACTATGTGAAGAAGTGGGTTGCTCAGTGGGGAAATCTCTACAGCTGGAAAGCTGGAGCTAGATGCATCAGTGGTACAGTTACCTTAGAATTTCAGTGGCCCCAGTGATAAAACAACTATGAAGTTTAGTTGTATTTTTCTGATGGGTGTTGAATTATTTGTGATAGTTATAAACTAATTATCTGAGAGGATAATCAAGCCTTTTAATGTAAGAGAAATGGTAGGACATAATATAGTTTTTTTCATCATAAAAATACAATGAAAAAATATAAACATTATGTATGGCAATGTATGTATGTAATCTAATGTTCTTCTATTGATAAAGCTCATTTCTAGCATGGGAGAACACAGTGGTTCAGTGAGACAATAATGAGTGCAATTTACATATAGCAGCTGCCTGATCCAAGCAGGCATCTATGACTATGGAAAAACTAAATGGCAACGAGGTACCATTATGTGCTTGTTTCTCCCATTACAGTAGAACTACAATGCAGGTGATGAAATGATGCAATGTAAAACCGACAAACTGACTGAGATACAACTGTGTCTTTAAAATAAATGATAAAAGGGGCTGGAGAGATGGCTCAGCAGTTAAGAACACTGGTTGTTCTTGCAGAAGACCCAAGTTCGAATCCCAGCACCCACATGGCATCTAACAACTGTGAGTAACTCCAGCCCTAGGGGATCTGACAGCCTCTTCTGACCTCTGCAGGCATTGCATGACAGGGGTGCACTCACCTACATGGAGGCAATACACACACATAAAATAAAAATAATAAATAAAATTAAAAATAAAATAAAATAAATGATAATGATCACAATCATCTCACTACAACTGAAGACACCAATGCTGCTTCTCCTTGAAGTGTGATGGGAAAAATATATTGGGATGATTCTCTTCTTCTCTAATTAAATATAATCCAACTGTTTTATTTGAAATTTTCTTTGAAACAGTGTCTTGCCTTGCAGCCTAGGCCTCAAGTTTACAATTCTGCCTCTGCCTCCCAGGTGCTGGGATTACTGCATGTACCATCTTGACTGGACAAATCTGTTTCTTAAAATGAGTGCACAATACAAATTCACTGCCTTTTCGCATCCCATCCAACTCATCCTTCAAACGGTTCTAATCGTACCTTGTCTGCTGCAGCATCCAGCTTGCTATTCAATATCTGAGCCTTCTTCAGATACCTCTGGACATCCTGCAGGTCCCCAAATGTATGAAATTCTTCTGCCTGTTTAGCATAACTCTCCAGTTCCTCCACGAACCGTTCACATCGTAACTGATAAAAACAATATTTGTGGTTACTGTTTTTTTAAAAATGAAAACCCTTAAACATTGAGAGATAATTTTACTTATCAAAAATTTCTATTATATTTTGTTCCTGGAAAAATATAGAGAAAGATTATCTAAGAGATGACTAAGATCTAAAATACTGTTTAGCATAACTCTCCAGTTCCTCCACGAACCGTTCACATCGTAACTGATAAAAACAATATTTGTGGTTACTGTTTTTTTAAAAATGAAAACCCTTAAACATTGAGAGATAATTTTACTTATCAAAAATTTCTATTATATTTTGTTCCTGGAAAAATATAGAGAAAGATTATCTAAGAGATGACTAAGATCTAAAATACAAATAATTTTTAAAAATATTTTATTTATTATTTTTATTTTATGTGTACGTGTGTATTGCCTGCATGTAGGTAAGTGCACCCGTGTCATGTAGTACCCACATTGGTCAGAAGAGGCTGTCGGATCCCCTGGGACTGGAGTTATGGACAGTTGTTAGCTGCCATGTGGGTGCTGGGATTTGAACCTGGGTC